AGCAGGAATACATGCATTAGGTTTGTGTGCAGGCTGCACTAAGGGTTTGCACAAATGGATGTTAGGAATAAACTGAAGAAGGATCATCCTCTCTCAGTTTTTGAGATTTTTTGCTGTATTGATTATTTTTGACCTTGGAGTGATTCTTTGATATTTTGAGATGGCATGACACTTTTTTTTTTTTTCATTGCCTTTGGGAGAAGTAGTGTTCCTTAGTTCTTTGAGAAGTCTATGCAAAGTAAGTTAAAAAAAAGGTTTTGGTTTGGTTTGTTGGTTTGTTCTTGTTACGATATAATGAAGGCCTAATTTTAGTGAGTTAGATGTGAATTTGAAAACTCCTCCCTACCACCAACTATTTACTATAAGGAATGTTACTTTGTTTTGAAGTTGGCTTGTCTTTAACCAAAGAAAACATTCTAAGGTTAATTCAAAGGTGCTTTTTTTTACCCATACCTCCCCAGAGACCTCTGTGACAGGAAGATAAGTTTGCCATTTCCAAAAGAAAGCACTACCTTTAAGAGAAGAGAAAATGTCTCTCTGTAAAATGAGTGATCTATAATTTCTAGTCCTAGCTTTTTTTTTTATTATTTTAAGGAAAAAGGAAGACAAAATTTCCTATTACTCATTGAAAGCTTTTACTACTGCTCTGGGCACCTGAAAGATACTGATTCTGACACCTCAAGCTCTATGACCAGAGTAGTTACACCAAGTAAATGGTCCTAATATTTCTTTTATTTCTTTGCCTGAAAAATATAATGGGCTATATATAGCTGTTTTATTTAAAAAACATGTGGAGGGTATCTCCTATGGCTTGTGTTGGATGGGAGTTCCTGCTGCTCTCTGTTCCTGCGACCCTACGGTACAGCTATCCGTGGTTCTTGTGCCATTCTGTCCTGCTTGCCTACTCATTTATAAATCTATCAGTCCCTCCAGGGAGAAGGGAAGTAAAAGGTGAGTTGTAAGTAAACTTTTATAGGGAAAAGGATGAAGGAGAACGTGGTGTCCTATGAGACTTGTGCTTTTAGCTGTCTATAGCTATCACCTGTGGTACATACAATCCTTTCCACACATTGTGGTTGCATTTCTCTCCTTTCTTCTGTTTTCTCTGAGCTGCCTGGGTTGGCAGATGTTAGCCCTTGCTGGAAAGGCAGGGACAGATGTTGTTGCTGTGCCTCCAGTCCTTGCAAGGCTGGGATAGAACACGCCCCTCTCAGTTCAGGGCAAAGGCCAGTTTTGTCAGCATCCAAGTGGTCAGTAAAAACTGCTTAGGGAAATGAGAAATAAGATCTGTCTGTCAATAGGGTAGCTTTGTCTTCCAGTATGAATTTCAAACTATGGGCAGCCAGTCATTTAGAACTTGCTTGGGCTAGAGGCTGCATCCAGATTGTCACAGATGAGTTGCAGATGCCCAGCAACCTCATCTATTTGTCCTGCCCTGCCTGGGGACTCTCCCAGCCTCTCCTCCCATGCACGACCCAGCCACAGGGCCAAGATGTCAAATACACAAAGTGCCTGAACAAATTTTGGAGAGATTAATTGCTGGGCAGAGGAGAGAAACCCAACCTGAGCTTTGGAATGACCACAACATGAGCTCAGCAGTTTGACCTGCTGGCTCACAGGCAGGACCACGTGTAGCACAAAACCAGTTGAAGCCTGGTCTTCAAGCACCAGCTCTTCACAAAAAAGCCTCTGCCTGAATGGAATTCTTTGAAAAGGGCACTGCCAGATATTCTTTTGCTTCAGAAATAAGTAGCACTGTGGAAGGTTCTGCTGCTCTGTAGTTTGTGAGAGCTCAGCTCCTGGCTCTGAGCCCTGCCCAAAGGACTGAGCTGGCAGCCCTCAATGGCATTAGCCTAGAGGTGTGGCTCATGGGGAGAAAAAGGGCATGCAATACATTTTCTCCTTCAGCTGAGCTAATTCCCACATTTTCTTCTTTCCCGTTTGATGTACAAGTTTTATTTGCCTTTCTCTGGCATTCAGTTTCCTTTGCTTATCTGCAGTGCTGCAGCATTGAATAACACCGTGTCCTTCCTAGAGATGTTTAACTAGAGGTTGTTTTCCCAATTATTAATTTAATGAACAACAGCTGGAGAAATATTTGATAGGTGGTTTATTTGAAAGCAAGTGCATATCTTGGGGACAGAGAACATTTTATGCCTTAGCAGTGTACTCCTTTGTGCCTGTGGGTCATTGTACTCAAACCCCTGGGGTAGAGTGGTGGCAGCAAATGGGCACTATAACTAGGTCAGACAGGGTGGGAAGGGAGTGTCAAATGGCAAGAGAGAAACAGGGTATATATCCTGGAGCTGGGTGGGAGGGAAGTTGGACTTGAGCTAGGACTGATAATTTTGCATTCAGTGTTGAGGAATAATTTTTAATTCATTTTTTTTTCCCTATTCAATTTTCTGTTGTATTTACAAGCCAAAATGACCATTACCAGGCACCTCTGCTCATCAGTTTCAGCTCTGAGAATAATGTATTTTAGGTGCTGTTGTGACTGCAAGAAGGCACTAGTAACTGTGGTTTCAAGACCTTGAAAAAGTAGATAATAGAAGTGCCAGAGATAACTGAGGTGCTGTTTAAAGCAGATCTTGATAGAGAACTCTGGAGATCTGAATGCTACTTCTCTTTCTTCCTCATGTTTCCTCTTTGAGCCAGCAGAAACAAGTGTACTTCTTTGTGATCCTATGGTTCAGCTCCTCTAAAGTGACATCAGAGCCCCCTGACATGTACCCTTGCATTCAGTACCCATAGAAAATGCTCATTGTCTTGCCCATAGAGTAGGATGAATGTATTTTTATAGTAGGACTTCTGAATTTCAGCCACTGTCTAGACCAGTGGTGACTGGTGTTGCAATCTGCAGCCATGCCAAAGCAAGACAGGTTGTACTGTGTGGCCCTGCATCATAGATCGAGCTCTGTTCTCTACTCAGAAACCTTGTTCAGTGTTTATAAATTTAGTTCCCTCCAGCAAAGAGAGAAGTCAATTGCTTTCCAAAGTTGAGAAATTGCCCACAACAATTAGAAAGTGCTGCAACCATTATGTGAATCTGGTTGCATCTCTTTCTAAGTGTGACAAAGCTTCTCTTGATGGCTGGTGAGGGGCAGTGTTGTGGGCAGGAAAGCACAGTTGTCTGCCTGGCTAATTGAACATTCCTAAAACTACGCTTCTGTTAGCCTGATGTCCTTTGAGATCATCAACAGAAGGCAAGAGCTGATTCACCTTCTTGGGGTGGAGCTAAATGTGAAGCCCAACTTGCCTGAGAAGGCTTGGGGCAGGATCAGTGGCCATGGCTTATTGTGGCATCTCAAGCTGCTTGTGTCAGTTGAGCAGATCACACTTGTTTTGAGTTGCATGTGGTAATTCCATTTCTCCTCCAAGAGCAACCCAACATAAAAGTGTGCACAGTGAAGGGCATTGGCTGAGCTCAAGTGAAAAACATTAATTTTAACCTACAGCATGTCTCAGATTTCTGACTCTGTATGAGTATGGAGACCTTGTGTGTGAAACCATCGTTTCAAGTGTAGATATTTTCTTGAAAGGGATAAAGTGACTGCATTAATGTGTCATTTGGGGCTAGTTTTCTTTACACAAAATTTGAGTGATTGAACAGCTTTTTCTCTGTGATAAACATTTAGGATTGAAGCAGCCTGTGTGTATGTGATACGTTTGTGTATTTACACACAGTCACACTGTCACAGACATGCTAACATATACATTCACAATATTCTATACTTACATATTACCAATATAGGAGATATTTTAAGTACTAGCTATGCCATGCATACAGTAGAGCTGACCTTGGAAAAGATACCAAGAGTAATAATAGACACCGTGGGTAGTGTTTGTGCAGTTTCTGGGCATGTTAGATGCACCGTGTATAAGTTTCTAAGAACAGTGTCTTGGAATAATTTCTTTTAAATGAAAAACATATCAAACATTAATCTAAGTTGCTTTTTTTATGACTCTCAAAAGGAAAGGGGAAAGTTAGTGGTGGATCAAGTTGGATTTTTTTAGTTGATACTTGTTTAATTTTGTATTATTGCAGAAACTGGAACACAAAGAAGTTTTGGTTGGCTTGTTGTTCCTGGTTTTCCCATTCATCCCAGCCAGCAACCTCTTCTTCAGGGTGGGATTTGTGGTGGCAGAGCGAGTCCTTTACATGCCGAGGTAACTATTGCAAATGAATTTGTTTCTAATGAGACCACCATCTCATTTTCTAAAAGCAGGCATGATTGCTTCTTCCTTTTTAAATGCTTCAGACATTACATTGCTAGTCAGTGGGTTCTCTGCCTTTGAGTTTTGCATGATAGCATGAGAGATTTTATAGTCAGCTGAGAACAGATTGCTTGGCAGGAGCAAGGCTACCCAAAATCCATGCTCTTTTTTTTTTTTTTTCTTTCCCCCCGCAGATTTTTTGGTGTGCTTGATACAGCTCAATACAGAGATGAGGTGTGGTTTCTTGAGGATTGCCCTCCAAGTCTCTCTTTCCTTGGTAGCATTATCAAATTGAATTGTTCAATGTCTTTACCTTAAGGAGAGCAGTTAACCTGTCATATTTTTATTGTGGTATTGTTCAGCTTTCCCACTACATTAGTTGATCAGTAAATACAAAGGCTATTATTGCTGTCCTGAAATGCTGCTGGCTTCAGTTGTGGATATGAGCATGGGTTCCCGCCTGTAAGCTGTTGACTGCATACACATCTAAGAGTGGAGGATTTGCAGTTGTTGAACAGGGTGAGGAAAATGCAGCCACTTCTCCATCACTCAGCCTGTGCCCTGAAATTTTCCTCAGTTTCCAGCCTCTTAATAATTGTCACTTCAGCAGTCTGGGTGCTTCCAATTGCATTTACTCAAGGACAGCTTTGAGGTGTTACTTCTGACATCTCCACAATATCCAGAGCAGATGCTGCAGTGACAGTCAGAGGCCATTCATCCAAGACACACCAGACCATTGCCCATTTCACAGAAACACAGGCTGGTTGAGGTTGGAAAGGACCTTGGGATATCATCTGATCCAATTTTTTTGCTCAAGCAGGACCACCTAGAGCCAGTTGCCTAGGACCCTGTATAGACAGGTTTTGAATATCTCAAAAGAGGGAGACTTTGCAATCTCTCTGGGCAACTTGTGCCAGTGCAGTTTGTTCCATCCAGAAGCGTAAATGGTTGTTCTTGGATGCTGCAAGCCAGAAAGCCCAATTATACCCTTGGTTGCAGAAAGTCAGCATCTGTTATATCTAATGTGAACTGCCATTGTGGAGCTGCTGACAAAGCACAAATCCTCCTTTTCATTCTGGGCGACTTTGTGGCAACTGAAACAAAAGGTTTATTTCACAAAATGTTTAAATTGTATTCCTCAGAAATTGTGGATGCTAAGAAAAATGCTTATAGATAGTCTTTTGCAAAGCCATATGTATTCTGATGGTCATTTGTGTAAGTGCTATCACAAAAGGGCTGCTTATTGGTGTAAAACTCAGGCTGTGCAGGAGCTGTTGTATTTATTACAAGCTTCTTGCGCAGTTATGCTGTATCCCTGTGCTCTGCTCTATACTGACATGCTTTTTAGGTCAAATCCTGCTGACTTTATTCACATCATTTTCCCTGTTTTCATTTGCTGAGAATATACCTGAAAGTCTAGGGAGTGAAAGTTGTCCCTCAGAGTTATTTTGCAAATCATACCCTGAACTAATGGATCTTGCATCATTTCAAATTAACTTGGAAATCAGATTGCTTTAAATTCATGTAACAGAAAATGAGGAAACACATGAAAGCGCAAAGCTATTAAGGAAACAGTCAGCTGAACACAGGGCTGTGTTGAGGGGTTGCATTTCTGAATCTCGAAAGAACAACTGCAGAAAATACTTCAGCCGTCAGCAGTTCCTCGTCGTCCTCCAGATGAGACTGCTGATATAATGAGAGGAGGGGCAATGAAGAAGAAAAAAGGCTATGTTTGCGCAGAGAAAATTAATCAGCGTTAACATGTGTGCATATAGTTTGTATAATGCTTTTCATCTCCCTGAGGGTTTTGCAAATATATGACTGACAAAGTAGGTAATTGGTGGTTGCTCTATTTTTTTCAGTTAGGAAAACTGAGGCAGAAGGATTAAATGGGTACTCTAGAGTAAGTCTGTGTCAGAGTCCCTGGATCTCATACTTTGCTCAGATCACTCCTGTCCTGCCTTGCAGTATTTGGTTTTTGCTCTTAGCCCAGACTGGCAGGTACCTGGCATGAAAAGGAAAGCTCATGGGGAAATGTGGGCAGTTTCCAGCCAAAGATATGGCAGAACAAAAATAATGTGGTTTTGTTGTGGTTTTTTTTTTCCCCTGGGAGCATGGTAGTTTAGTTACAATGGCTTTAGAAAGGACTTGTATTCTTTACTTAGAACAGCCTTTAGCAGTTTTCTCATGTTGCATCTTGAAAAGCTGTTTTCCTATCCTTTGCCATTCCTTCTCTAAAACTCAGTTAGCAAGTCAGAGGTTGTCATTCAGCATTATTGAGACAAAAGTCCTCAATCAGATGGAGAGAACTCTGTTAACTCTGTGTTTGGACTCATGCTGGAGGGTGCTTTTCTAGCTCTGTTTCAAGTAATAGCCTTTTATTAATATTTATGGATGTGACACTTGCGTATTTGTGGATGTGACAGTTGTGTATGTGTGTCACAGCCTGAAGTCCTAGTTCAGTGCTGCTCAGTAGTTACCTGGGGAAAATGTCAAGCATTTTCTTCTCAATAAGAGTTAAGTAAGGACTCAAGGATTTATGTAGAAGGTGTTGTAAATAGAAAGAAGCAAGAAAGAAGCTTTTTGCTTGGTGTCTAATTACATGGCTGGGTCTTGCCTTCTAGGGATTGATGGGTATTTGGAACAATTCCTCTCCTGTTTGCAGTCATGCCCCAGGGGAGAGGCTTATAAGCTATGTGAAAATGGTTGAATGTTTTCTATAATTGGGTTTAGCTAAACAGAAATATTTGAAGAAAATATTTCTTGTATTTATTTTGCATCTGAGGGTTACAAGCACTTGTTTAAATCAAGAATTTTTAATAATAGTACTCTTAAGTTGGAAAATTTAATTGGAAAACAATATATTGTCTTTCAATGTTTAAATTTTTTTGTTGGTGGTGGGTTTTTTTCTTGTCCATGAGAGGAGGACATCTTGTTTCAGGTGGGTAAGTGTGTGCAAAATACTTACCTTGGGGTGGCAGACACTATACAACTCTCTAGGCCACAGTTTTCCAAAGAGGCATCACAATGAAAAGCTGGATCAGTGAAAGACTTAAACTAGAGGTTTTTCCCACTTCAAAATATCATAGCTGGACAACTTAAGCCGTTTTCACAACCTCATATGAGTGAACAAATCAACCAAAACATTGTTCTGTGGGTTATTTCCAATTTGCTGAAAGCAATAGGCAATCTAGTGGTACCTACACCATTTTTCTGGCAACTTGTCCATGATGGATATTGCAGTGAGTGGGTTGCAGAGTGCACAGTTAGTCTTCCTCAGCACAGACAATTACAGGTTGCTGGGATGGTTTATTTTTGGCAGCTCCTCTCTATATCAAGAGTTGATGTTGAAACTCTAATTGTCAATACTAGGAGATGAGATCACTGCTATATACAGGATGGCATTTGCTTTACCACCTATCTCAAAATCTGCAAGAAAGCCAGGGTCCTGAAAAAAACACAGTTGTATTTTTCAGGAATTTAACACATCATTGTGGCACTTGGTGCCATGGTCTAGTAACCACGATGAGGTTGGACTTTGATCTTGGAAGTCTTTTCCAACCCGATTGATTCTATGATCATGTTAAAGCTTTCCCCATGGCGTAACAAAGCAGGAACCATATGAATTTTTGCCTTTCCATAGAGTATGTTTTTACTTCTTTGGGCTAATGCATTTGTTCCAATTAGTGTAATTCCATACATTGTTAACTTTTGTAATTGAAGAAAACAAAAGAACCTTTTAGGTAGTGGAATCATCTGTAACTTTTATAAACCCGATAATTGTTAAGCAGAAGTCCTCATTTCTTACAAGGCAGTCACTTGAGGATGGGACTTACTGGTGCTTCTCTTTTCTGGGAGCATATCATGCTCTCTACATTATCTTTATTTTCTTCAAGACCAGCTCTGTGATGGGGTGGTGGTCTGTTTTCATATTCCTTTGCCACCTGAATTTCTGTTTGCCTTTCAGAATTCCTTCAATATTAGATCAGATCCTGTAAGGGATCATCTGATTTGCAGAAGAAGCTTCTCTTTTCAATTGAAGTCAAACACTGACCCCAGTGAAGTCAGCAGTGAAAGTCCCATTGGCTCCATGGAGTCAGTTTATCTTCTCCCTGATCTCAGTTCAGCAATATAATTGAGCTTTTTGCCAGTTTTCAAGTTAAGTCTACAGTTCTTTTGGGATTTGTATATGGAATCCAAGTTACACCTATTCCATTTACTTAAAACAAACATGATTTCATTGCCGTACTCTGCTGCTGCTGTTCTTGTGAGGGCCATGTAGCAGGCAAAGTTCAAAAGAAGCAAACTGGATTATATTCCCTGTAATTCAGCTGCAGACCTGAGGGCACAGGGAGGGTATTAAGTGATGGCAGTGAGCCAACCCCCAGCCCCAGCTGGGTTCCTGTTTGCCTTGAGGGATGCTTGTCACTGCTCCAGAGTTTCAGCAGCAGTCTGCAGAATGGCTCATGGCTGGAGGGCGAGATGGTTGGGACTTCTGCTGGAGCCATTGACTCCAGTTCTGCTTCCCTATCGATGAAACAGGGATAATAACTCCACTCTGCCCTTCAGAAGGGGACAGAGAGAATTCTCACTAATTAATGAGAAACAATTGCTTGCAAGAAGGTTAAATGCTGTGAGCAGCTACCTTGCAGGTGTGTACCCAGACTTAAGGTCCTGGCTTTGGAAGGCTTCCCTCATCCATATTCATAGTCATAGAATCAACCGGGTTAGAAGAGACCTCAAAGATCATCAAATCCAACTTTTAAACACTTTCAGGAGAAATCAAAGCAGCCATCCTCTGTGAAGGCAGGCAAGAAATGCTGAGATACCAGTGCCATATATTTTGGCAAAAGGCAATAAAGACGTAGGAATAAAAATGGAAATGATTCTGCAAAGCTGAAGAAGATCAGCTCATGGTGCGTTTGGCCTAGACTGCAGTATTGCATTATTTT